TCTTCTTCTTCTTCTTCTTCTTCTTCTTCTTCTTCTTCTTCTTCTTCTTCTTCTTCTTCTTCTTCTTCTTCTTCTTCTTCTTCTTCTTCTTCTTCTTCTTCTTCTTCTTCTTCTTCTTCTTCTTCTTCTTCTTCTTCTTCTTCTTCTTCTTCTTCTTCTTCTTCTTCTTCTTCTTCTTCTTCTTCTTCTTCAACAGGTTTTATTAATTTTTCAAATTTTTACATCCAAGTGCTTAGGAAGCATGGTGATAGGGTAATCAATAATCCAATAACAAAAGCATTCATGTGTATCTCAGGTTACATCAATAAAGATTCCTCCTCTAGTTCCCTTAAATATAATATTAATAATAATAATAATAATAATAACAACAACAACAACAACTTTATTGCCACTTTGAATGTACACCAATTGGCATACATCAAAATGAAATTTTGTTGCATACAGCTCTCAAAGGGTCACCACCTCCGATATACACTCCTTGTTTGTGGCCAGCTCAAGTTTCAGATCGTCCATTTTAGTCTCTAGGAGCGAATGATGGCAAACAGGACAGATGGAAACGGAGCTCCATGTGGATTAGCCCTCAAATTAGCTTGTATTCCTGCATAACAACCTTGCCTCCTTTCCTTTTTCTGATCCTGTCTCTTCCACCTTTTCCTTAAAGAGGACTTGCTTCTTTTCGCCCCTGGAGCACGCTGCCACCGCCTCCAACTCCTCCTAATACATTTCTAACTGAAGCTCAATCAATCAATACATTTATCAATGACATCTTACTTATACATATCCAAGTCCTGTATTTAAGTTTTACTTAATTCCAATTGTCATGTTCCAATTTTGCCTTTTATAACCAATATTTAAATTTGGATAACCTTAATTTTCCTCATTTCATTATAAAATACTTAACATAACCAGAATAGACATGTTGTTCCAAAATTTACTTCTTACTTTGTTCACAAATATACTCTATTTCATTTACTAGCAAAATATCTTCCATTATCACAAATGTATTTCCATCTAACAATCAAAACTATAATCTAACAATTAATTTTAATTTCCCTTGTAAGTCTTAATCCTGGATATTAAACCAATCACTCCAAAAAGCTACTTAGCCATTAAGTGAATTTTTAAATCCCACTTTTAAATCTAACTCTGGGTTTCTTTTTGTGCCAGGTAGGCTTCCATACCAGTGCCTTTGAATCCACTGATGTGTCTTTCTTCATTTCCACACATGTTGTTTGAACCAAGGGAGAACATCCAGTTATCAATTTTCCAAAGGAACTGGCCCCTTTGTAATAATTAGGTTGTTGCCCTAATAGTTCAAATCTCCATGTTTGGTTTGGAATCTTTGTCATCAGTTCAGTCTGGTCCTCTTGTTCTTCTTCCAATTTCGTCTGAGTAAAGTAGCAAGTCATATCCAGTGTTGTTGTTATTGTTTGGTTAGCTAAATTGTCTAAGTTCTCAATGTATTATGTTTGTTGATTAGTTCCTGTTGCTTTTGGAGTTATAGATACTGTAGTTAAAGTTAATGTTGGATTACCAAAATTCTTATAGGTTGTGAATGTTGCTGTCCTCTTCTGTTGTTTTTTGGCTTGTAAGTTGATCATCTGGAGTTCGATTTGTAGTTTTATGAAAACATCCTCAGCTTTCACTTTTGAGTTGTAGCTTCAATAATTTTTTCAAGGATAAGTTTATAGTTGAGTTGTGGGTAGAATTCCTCCGTTTCCATGGTGGTTAGAGATAGTCCTTTAGTGGAGGCTATGTTTAGTAAGAGTGAGCCAATGTTCACCTCCACACTTTCTAAAAATTGTTTTCACCAGCTAGCTGTTTCCAATTCTTATGTTTTGGATAATATGAAGGACAAATCAAGGGAGTCAACAGGCACAACTGAAAAAAAAGGAAAAGAAATTCAGTTGCTATGCTAGGTTTCACCACAAGATGTCCCCAGCAGACCACAAAATCTTTTCCCAAACGCTTAGCTTTTTTATTTTTCAGTTAAAAAAGCAGAAAAAAAGATATTTTCCAAAATTAATAGTTTAGGTAAATGATAAGTCTCTATAATAAGAAGTTTTGGGACCCCAAGGTATCCGCAGAACAGAAATCCAGTTATCTAGTTGTTAAAGTTAGTTATTCTTTTCTTTTCTTTCCAAAGCTTAAATTCCTAAGTATGCAAAAGCCGCTGAATTGAGAGCGGGGAAAAAGTTTCAAAGAGCTTTCACAGGAAGGTAGTTAGGGTAAAGAGAGAGATAAGGAAGGGTCTCACCCAGATCTTCCATGGTGCTTCATTGAGCTTAGAAGTGCTTTTGGCTTTCAGCTGGTGCAGCTAGATGATCGGCCATGTTGATGGCCGATCTTTCTTCCGTTGATCCAAAGGAGCTGCCTCAGCTCAAGCGGGAGGGCTGCCGCCCTTCCATGCTCAGGCGAGGGTCCTCCTCAGCGGTGGTTACCCCTCCAGGGCGACTTTCGACCCTTTCCAGAGTATTTCGATGGAAAGAAACCAGACAGCAGGGAGGGAACTCTCTTCATACATCCAAAGACGCCACAATCTGGAAACGGAAGCCAGAACATGCCAGTTCTGAAAACAATTTCTTTGTAATGCTCTTCTGGAGAGCTCTCTGTGTGAGGGTCCTTGGTGCCCTCTTAACTTAGTTGTTTTCTTGCAGATATTTCATGATCCCAACTAGATAATATCATCAGTGCTAGTCATTTTGCATATCCTGAAGAAGAAAAATTGAAATCCAGAATAAGGATACTGATCATTTGTATCATATTAACATCAAATTTAAATTAGCTGTATTTTTTTTTACTTAATTATAGGCTTTTCCTCAGTATTTTTTTTTCTTATTTCAGAATTCTACCCAACCATGTTTTGAAAGCAATGTATATGCATACATTTACTTCGTGGTCTTTATTATATTTGGATCCTTCTTCATGCTGAACCTCTTCATTGGTGTGGTTATCGACAATTTTAACCAGCAAAGAAAAAAGATAAGTATCTATCATAAATAGACAACCAAGACTCACAAAGACAAACAGTTACAAAGTCTTTCAAGTGTATCCAATGACGGTTTGTCGGTGTTGTGTTTTACGCAAGATATAGGAAATATGGCAATTGAATATAGTCCTGGAAAGGATTCATATAGAAAGAGAATAATTCTCAACAACTAACCTTTCTTGCTCTCATTTTATATACGGGTTATCCTTAATTTACAACCACAATTAAGCTCAAAATTTCTGTTGCTAAGTTAGACATTTGCTAAACGGGTTTTGCCCCATTTTATGACCTTTCTTGCTAAACTGTTAAGTGAATCACTGCAGTCATTAAGTTAGTATCATGGTTGTTAAGTGAATCAGGCTTCCCCCTTCACTTTGCTTGTCAGAAGGTTGCAAAAGGGGATCACGTGAACCCGGGACACTGCAACCGTCATAAATACGAGTCAGTTGCCAAGCCTCTGAATTTTGATCATGTGATCACGGGGATGCCTAAGTCATTTTTCTCAGTGCTGTTGTAACTTTGAATGGTTGCTAAAGGAACTGTTGTAAGTCAACAGTGCCTTATCACTGTACAGTCTGTACAGTTAGAAAGTTCTGCGGAAAGACCAGTTGTGTTGATCTTTTGCTGCAAAATGAATATGAGGTTTTGAGGCACCAGGCTATTAGAACTGCCTCAAAGAACAGGATCATCTTATTTCCATAGATTGTGCCAGCAAAACCTTCTGCCTAGGCATGGCTCTCTTAATGATTGCTTCCTTAACTCACGCAGCCTGTAGGTGTCCAGAGGTGCTCCTGGCCTGGTTTCTTAGTAACCACCATAAATAGTTCATTTACTGGCAGTAGTTTGGATAGTACATTTATTCTCTAATCCTTTGGACCATACAGTCAATCAGATGACATGTCCTGTAAAATCCAAGCAGAAGTTCATATTTTAGTTTAGAGCCTGTCTTTGTTTCATGAGAGTCACAAAGTAAATTAAGCCGCTCCGAGCAACAGGAATAGCTACAAGTCATCTTGACTTCTAGAAGTAAAAAGCAATAAAAATGACTATATGGAGTGCACAAAGGGATTATGAGAAAAAGTATTCATTTAAAGAACCACAAGATCCTGTTCTTATTCTATCATAATTATGACTAACATTTTAGGGCTTTAGGATAGTCGCACCCAAATTCAGGAACTTTTTTCAGTTAAATTAAAGAGTATATTTTAGAAGATTGCCCATCCACCCATCTTTAACACCAAGTCAATAAATATTCGAATCGTACAGAGCTTTGTCTGTTAAAATTCTATTTATTGGTACTAACTCTTTAGTTGGCTTTGGACAATTCTTGTGTTTGAACAGAGATAAATAGATTCAGAAAAAAATATACTTTAGAAATCTAATAGCAATGTTATTATTCTCTTATACCTAGGTGGAGAACTCATCTTTTTGTCAGAGGATCAAAAGAAATATTATAATGCACTAAAAAAGCTTGGTACCAAGAAACCACATAAGACTATTCCACGACCTCTGGTAAGGCCCTTGCAAGCATCAATGCATTTGCATTATTACTAACTTGGAAAGATTTTTCAGAAATTCTAGTAAAGCCAAATATAAAACATTTTTTTCCTGCATGAGCTATAGTGGTGCAATGGTTAGAATGCAGAATTTCAAGCTGACTCTGTCATTTACCAGGAGTTTGATCCTGACAGGGCTCAAGGTTGACTCAGCCTTCCATCCTTCCGAGGTCGGTAAAATGAGGATCCAGATTGTTGGGGGGCAATAGGCTGACTCTGTAAACCGCTCAGAGAGGGGTATAAAGCACTGTGAAGGGGTATATAAGTCTTATTGCTATCGCTGTCTGTCTGTCTGCCTGTCTGTCTGTCTATCTACCTACTTACCTACCTACCTGAATGAATGAATGAATGAATGAATCTAAATGAGAACCCAGATTGTTGGGGGCCAACAGGCTGACTGAAAACCACTTAGAGATGGCTGTAAAGCACTGTGAAGCGGTATATAAGTCTAAGTATTATTTCTATCTATCTATCTATCTATCTATCTATCTATCTATCTATCTATCTATCTATCTATCTATCTATCTCTATCTATCTATCTATCTATCTATCTATCTATCTATCTATCTATCTATCTATCTATCTATCTATCTATCTATCTATCTATCTATCTATCTATCTATCTATCTATCTATCTATCTATCTATCTGAGAACCCAGATTGTTGGGGGTAATAGGCTGACTGTAAACTGCTTAGAGAGGGCTGTAAAGGCAGGACAAGAAGCAATGGGTGGAAACTAATCAAGGAGAGAAACAACCTAGAACTAAGGAGAAACTTCCTGACAGTGAGAACAATTAACCAGTGGAACAACCTGCCTCCAGAAGCGGTGAATGCTCCAACACTGGAAGTTTTTAAGAAGAGACTGGACAGCCATTTGTCCAAAATGGTATAGAGTTTCCTGCCTGAGCAGGGGGTTGGACTAGATGACCTTCAAGGTTCCTTCCAACTTTACTACTATTATTATTATTATTATTATTATTATTATTATTATTATTATAGTCTAAGTGTTATTGCTATCTGTCTGTCTGTCTGTCTGTCTGTCTGTCTGTCTGTCTGTCTATCTATCTATCTATCTATCTATCTATCTATCTATCTATCTATCTATCTATCTATCTATTTATCTATCTATCTATCTATCTATCTATCTATCTATCTATCTATCTGAATCTAAATGAGGACCTAGATTGTTGGGGGTAATAGGCTGACTCTGTAAACTGCTTAGAGAGGGCTGTAAAGCACTGTGAAGTGGTATATAAGTGCTATTGCTATGATTCATATTATTAATCAACGTGTTACAAACAGATCAGGAGTTATGGCCATAATAAAACCTACATATCATGGTTATAACTCACAACCAACCCAATTTTACGACCTTTTTTTGGCGATCATTAAACAAGTGCAGCAGTTGTAAAGTCGCCACCATAGACATTAAGTGAACACTGCAGTCATTAAACGAGCAGTGTGGTCACTAAGTGACCCTATGGTTTGCTGCAGGCCAGTTTTGCTAAAAATGAAACAAATGTCAGTGTTCGTCAAAAGCTTCGCAAAATGTGATTGTAAAATGTTGTAAATGCAGGGCGGCTGCCAAGCATCTGAAGAGCATCACATGACTGTGGAAAGGTTGGGATTGGGGTTGTCAGTACCAACAGTCGCTAAATGACCGGGTGACTAATTATATGCTTATAAAACTAAAGTAAAAGTAACAAAATTTTAAAGACTGTGCCAAAGTCAGCTCAGATTAGTTTGCAATGAATCTGCCACCTTGAATCACAGGGAAGATGCTGAGATCACTGCCAGATCACCTGCATTCCATTTGCAGCTGGTTAAAAAGAAAATACAAAAATGTCACTCAGAATGACAGAATAGCAGAGTTGGAAGGGACCTTGGAGGTCTTCTAGTCCTTCTAGCAGCAACAGCAATAGAAGCATCTCCTTGAAGCCTTTCAGGGCTTCCCCAGGGTTCTTTCTGACTTTCTGACTTCTCTGTTCTGTTAGGGGTCAATCAACCATTTCACGGGGGTCGCCAAGCAAGGCTGTCCGCCATTTTTTTGTCTGCCATTTTTTTCCCCTTTTCCGGCGGGTGCCTTACCTCCCTTGGGCTGGGCCAGCTGGTGGTCGGCCTGCTCCGTCTCTGCCGCTTGCCAGCTACGCCTCGGCCGGCGCAGGGGGCGGAACCACGCATGCGCGGCGCTCCCGGGCAGGGAAAGTCCTTGACTTATGACCGGTTGGGTAGTCCTCGACTTACGACTGGTTTAGTCCTCGACTTACGACTGGTTTAGTCCTCGACTTACGACCGGTTTAGTCCTCGACTTACAACCGGTTTAGTCCTCGACTTACGACCGGTTTAGTCCTCGACTTACGACCGGTTGGGGTCGCGGCATTAAAAAGGTTGAGAACCACTGTGTTAGATTCTCTTTGTGACTTTCAGATTGGGATACATAATTATGGAAGGACTTGATGTAACTATTTGAACTACTTTGGAATCTTGGCACTAATACCTTCCTCCCTCCCTCCCTCTCTCCTTCCTTCCTCCCTCCCTCCCTCCCTCCTCTTTATCTTTTTCTTCCTTCTCTCTCTTTTCCTCCCTCCCTCCTCCTCTTTTCCTTCCTTCCTTCCTTCCTTCCTTCCTTTCTTCCTCCCTCCCTTCCTTCCTCCTTCCCTCCCTCTCTCCCTCCCTCCCCTTTATCTTTTTCTTCCTTCTCTCTCTTTTCCTCCCTCCCTCCGTCTCTCCCTTTTTTCCTCCCTCCCTCCTTCTCTTTTCCTTCCTTCCTTCCTTCCTTCCTTCCTCACTCACTCACTCACTCACTCACTCCCCCTTATCTTTTTCTTCCTTCTCTCTCTCTTTTCCTCCCTCCCTCCTTCTCTTTTCCTTCCTCCCCCCTCTTTTCTGTCCCTACCTTTTTTCCTCCCTCCCTTCTTCCCTTTTCCTTCCTCCCTCTTTTCCTCCTTCCCTCTCTCCCTCTCTTTTCTTCCCTCCCTCCATTCCTTCCTTCCATCTTCCCTCCCTCCCTCTCTTTTCCTCCCTCCCTTCCACAGAACCAGTTCCAAGGATTTCTTTTTGATATCGTAAACAAGCAAGCCTTTGAACTTTTCATTATAAGCCTTATCTTCCTGAACGTGCTGGTCATGGCTGTGGAATACGAAGGTCAAGACGTGGCTGCCGACCAACTTCTAGAAAAGATCAACTGTGCCTTTGTTGCCCTCTTCACTGGCGAGTGTTTAATGAAGCTGCTGGCTCTGAGGCTCTATTTCTTCAAAGACTCCTGGAACATATTTGATCTGGTGGTTGTAATTCTTTCAATAATTAGTAAGTAGGGTTTTTGTTTTGTTTTGTTTACAAGGTGATTGCCTGCCAATGCTAGCAAGCTCTAAGGCAAATAACATTTGGCACAGCATACGTATTTACAGTCATAAACTTCCACTTCACATGTACAGGTGGTCCTCAACTTACGACCACAATGGAGCCCATCATTTCTGTTCTTATGTGAGACATTGGTTAAGTGAACCTGGTTTTCCCTTTGGCTTTGCTTGTCAGAAGATCACAAAAGGTGGATCCTGTGACCCAGGGACACTGAAACTGTCATAAGTACAAGTCGGTTACCAATTCCCTGAATTTTAATCACACAGCCACGGGTACGCTGCAGTGCTCGTTAAGTGTGAAAAATGTGGTCATAAGTCATTTTTTCCCCAGTGCTGTTGCAACTTCGAACGGCCACTAAACGAACTGTTGTAAGTCGAGACTACCTGTATAATGCAGACTTAGGAATGCACGGTTGCAAGAATTGGTTGTAAAATGTTGCACAGAAGAGAAATAATTCAGAATTTGGAAAAAAGTAAACTGGCATAGCCTCAGCAAGCCTCAGACAACGTGCATGTGTGTGAAACACGTTTTTTAAAAAAAATAATCCATCAATTTGCTCTCTTGGGGTAGATCCCAACCACCATTACCCATCATTAAAATCTGCTTTTTTAAATTTTATTCATTCATTTATTTATTTAAATTCATATGCTGCCTGTTATGTATTGAATATATATATAAATTGTGTCAATACCTGCTAAAGTGAAACTAACTTAACTCCAACTGCTTGTGAAGCTAAAATGAAACTAACCTTTAGATGACCCTGACTGTTAACTCCAACTGTTTTGGAGGGAAACTTTGAATATTCATATTTGGGTGGGTTTTTCAAGTATTGTGATTGGTTAAGGCCCTGTGGGCTCAGCGTATAAATTACAGGCCATTGCCTGCAGTTCTCCAGTTCTAGTTCGAGTCAATAAATATAATGTTGTAACTATGCTGGTCTGCTCCTTGCCTACTGAAACCCACACCAGTGGTGTCGAACGTATGGCATGGATGCCAAGGTGGCACTCAGAGCCCTCTCTGTGGGCACGCACAGCGTTGCCCCAGTCCTAGGCCTTCAGCTGGGTTTTATAAAACCTTTTCGCTTTAGGCCTCCGCTGCCATGTGCAAAAAAAAAAGGTTCAATCAATCAGTCAATTTCAACTTCTCGCGGGGAAAAAAAAGATCTTGCAAAGTTGGAATTGATTGAACTTTTTAGTCCCACCCAGTCTGCCATTACCACCGCAGCCACGCCCACCGAATGGGCCACGCCCAGCCAATGGGCCACACCCACCCGGCACCCGACGATGCATAAGTGGGTTTTGGGTTGCAGTTTGGGCACTCGGTCTCTAAAAGGTTCGCCATCACTGCACTACACAATACTTCCCATCTCACTATCCACAGCTAATGAGTCTGGCTTGCAGTGCAATAACATCATAAAAGTAAGAGCATTCAAAGAAATACAAAATCAGTTAAAAACTACAAAGAGCACAGACTAAACAGACACGTGGTCTGTTACTTCATGAGTGTCCCCATCAGATCCCCAGAACAACTAGCAGAGAGGGAAGTTTCAAGGCCCTTCTGGAAGGCCAAAGGGATGGGTAAGCCTCCATTTATGACCACAATTGAGCCCCAAATTTTCTTTGCCAAGCAAGATAGCTGTTCATTGAATTTTGCCCCGTTTTATGGCCACGATTGTTAAGTGAATCATTGGAGCTGTTAACTTAGTCGCGTGGTTGTAAAATGAATCTGGCTTCCCCATTGAGTTTGCTTGTCAGAAGGTTGTGAAAAGTGATCACATGACCCCGGGACTCTGCGACCATCATAAATACCAATGCCAAATGTCTGAATTTTGATCACATGACCATTGGGATTGATATGGGCGAAAGGGTGAAAAACAGTCACAAGTCACTTATTTCAAAGCTCTCGCAACTTTGAACCGTTCCTAAACAAAAGTAATTTGCAATTCAAGGACTAGTATTGAAGAACAGAGTTTTAAGTTAAATTGAAAGATATTGAAAAGAAGCCTGTTTTTGTTTTGTTTTTCCCCCAGGCCTTGCCGCAACCCAGCTTTGGCGACGTCTCAATTTCCCGCCGACAATCTTGCGAGTCATTCGAGTGATCCGTATCAGCCGCCTCCTGAGGCTGATCCGAGGCGCGAGGGGACTGCGCACCCTGCTTTTCGCCCTGTTGATGTCCCTTCCTGCTCTCACCAACATTGGGCTCCTCCTTTTCTTGATCATGTTCATTTATGCTATATTTGGCATGGCTAATTTCTCCTGCGCGAGCTGGCTACAAGGGATTGACAATATTTTCAACTTCCAGACCTTTGGCAATAGCATGCTTTGCCTCTTCCAGATCACAACCTCTGCCGGCTGGGATGAACTTCTTGGACCGATGGTCATCCATCAGGACGACTATTTCTGTGCTCCGAACATCAACTCCATGCCCCAGAAGAACCCCTGCGTCAACAGCAAGCTGGCCATTGCCTATTTTGTCAGCTACATCATTATTTCGTTTCTGATTGTAGTTAACATGTACATCGCTGTCATCATTGAGAATTTGAATGTTGCCACCGAAGAGAGCACAGAGCCACTAGGGGACGACGACTTTGAAATATTTTATGAGATCTGGGCGAAATTTGACCCCAAAGCAACCCAGTTCATTTCTTACTCAGCACTGTCCAACTTTGCAGATGCTCTGGCAGAACCTTTACGAATACCGAAACCAAATAGCCAGCAATTGTTGTCCATGGACCTTCCGATAGTCAATGGGAATAAAATCCACTGTTTGGATATTTTGTTTGCTTTTACGAAAAGGGTGCTAGGAGAATCTGGAGAAATGGACTCGTTTGAGTCCCAAATAGAGGATAAATATCCGGAGAAGATTGCCTATGAGCCTATTGTGACAACTCCCAAGAGAAAGCAGGATGAGTCTGCCATCGTAATTCAAAGAGCTTTTCGGGTGCACCTCCACCGTGTAGGAAAGAAAGCATCTCAGGAACCCTGTGTAACTATCTCCTTGGAGAATATTCCAGAAGAGGAAAACCTATCTGTGTTCAGCCTGAGTGAAATTGAAGACAGCCAGTCTAATAATTCTCAGAGCTTATCTTCGGTTGTCATTCCTCCATCCTACAGCAATGTGACTAGCATGGCTCCTGACATTCAACAGGAGAAGTTCCCTGACAGTAATGGCAACACAAAGTGATATTACTCTCACTGATTTTTCTCTTGTCACAGCAGAGTTTTCCTGGAAACAGACCATAATAATAATAATAATAATAATATCATAAATAGTTAACTCAGGAGCTTTTCCATTAGTGTTTGTATAAACTCTTACAGATCCACAGTGGGAATTAAAGATTGCATTGCAGCAGAGTTCCCTAACCATCTATATTCCGGATGTTTTGTTCATTGTGATACTCTGAAAATTCTGGGAACCATATGTCATTTCTGCCCTAATGATTTATACAGTATCTTCTAGAATCAATCTGCGTTATGTCAAAGGACAGGCATTGTGTCATTTCAGTGATGGCTGGATGACACAATGAAAGGACTGGAGGCTAAAACATACAAAGAACGGTTGTAGGAATTGGATATGCCTAGTTTAATGAAGAGAAGATCTAGGGGTGACATGATAGCAGTGTTCCAATATTTAAGGAGCTGTCACAAAGAAGAGGGAATCAAACTATTCTCCAAAAGCACCTGAAGTCAGGATAGGAAGCAAGGGATGAAAACTAATCAAGGAGAGAAGCAACCTAGAACCACGGAGAAATTTCCTGATTGTGAGAACAATTAACCAGTGGAACAACCTGCCTCCAGAAGCAGTGAATGCTCCAACACTGGAGATTTTTAAAAAGAGACTGGACAGCCACTTGTCCGAAATGGTATAGGGTCTCCTGCTTGAGCAGGGGGTTGGACTAGATGACCTCCAAGGTCCTTCCAGCCCTGTTATTCTGTTCTTTCAGTTAAGACTTTTATAGAATGGTAATTTTCAAAATGCATCTGTGCAGAAGAATTGATATAGAATGTAACAGATTGTGTGACAATTATTAATATAATTCTTGTAAAACAATTCTGCTCTTGCATATTTCTACCCACTGGATGGTTCTTGCATGGATTCATGTAGCGTAAGAAACGGGATTACAGTACTTACATCAGCATGAAAATGTATGAACATACACTAAGAATAGAAATAAAATATGTGTGTTGTTAGAAATGTATTTTGTAATTATGTGAAAAGAGAGTGAGTGGTTCATCTCTGAATGTTTCACTTTGTTATTCTGATTATTTAAGTTAGGTTGTGCATTTCCAAACAGGAAATTTTTATTTTCCAGAACAGGAATTCATGAAGTTCCAGATGCAGTTTGACTATATGAAAAATGAAATATCCTTTAGGAAAACCAGAATATTAAGAATAGAACCAGAATAAGAGCTGTGGTAGCAGAGTGGTTAGAAAGCAGTATTGCAGGCTAATTCTGCTGACTGTCAACAGTTCAATTCTCACCGGCTCAAGGTTGATTCAGCTTTCCATCCTTCCAAGGTGGATAAAATGAGGACCCAGATTGTTGGAGGCAATGTGTTGACTCTGTAAACCTCTTAGAGAGAGCTGTAAAACACTGTGAAGTGTATATAAGTCTAAGTGCTATTGCTATATTTTGAAGACAAATGATTCTGATTTGCACTCTCATTCTGGCTTGTTGTGCTCTGGCAATCTAGCCCATTGTGGCTTATTAAATGAACCACAGTAAAGCTAACAATGTCTTAGGGCATTATGTAGAACCAGTGAACATCTTACACATATAATAGAGATGCTATCTTGCTAAGAAAGAAGACCAGCAAGGGCACAGTTGCAGGACTTCTGTTACTGCTTGTCCATCGGAATTGTTTTGGAATTTCTCCATATTCCAGTATATCTTATTTATATCAAGTGAGCCTTATAGATAAACGTTAACACAGTTTGTTTCTGTTCACTGTTTGAAAGAATTACCATGCAACACAAATAAATAGAAGACAATACTGTACCTCAGGACTAAACTGTGGGGTCCTTGGTGTTCTCTAAGCTTGATTGTTTTCTTGCAGATGACTCATGACCCAACTAGATATCGTCATCAATGGCACCTGTCAAAAGAATTTGAAGTCCCAATCCTATCCAAGGTTGCGCAAGAATGAATCAGAATGAATCCAGATATGCTGTTTGAAAGGGAAAAAAGTTTATTTGAGAGCATAAAGACAGCCATTGAAAGTAGCTACAGTTTAGGGTGCAGTGGCTATTAGTATTGATAGGTTTTAATGGTCCTTTTGTGAGTACATGTGTGAATGTGCTTTCTGTAATGTTTATGTCATGGTTCCGACAGATGAAACTTTTCAAAGAACTTCAAGGCATTGTTTATCTTTTTTTTTTTAATAAAATTTTTATTGATTTTTATAATTAAACAGCAAATATCAGTATGATGCATTTACATACACAAACAGAAAAAAGATAATCCAAGTCAATACATTTTCGGAAACGCTCGGCAGTCCCCACCTTGCCTCCACCCTCATTCACTTTCCTATCCTTCCTCTCTCTAAACCCACAACCTCTCCTCCTTCCTCCTTTCCACCTAGCTACATCCCCTCTCCCTTCTTAACCACCTCATCGAGTGCAGTTTGGGGTACCAGCCGAGCATCTCCTCTTTTCAATATAATTATTATTTACCTATAACATATAAATACATCAATTTTTATAATTTCTGTCCCCTAATCCCCTTCCCCCACTGGACTTCCCGGAACCAGATACAGGATTAAAGCACATCCCATTCTAAATCTAAATTACAATTTAACTAAACAAACATAATACAATCAATATTTATATACTTTAACTCTAATAAAACAATAAAGGCATTGTTTATCTTAAAGAATCTTTATTCGAGTAGCATAGCATCCGTAGGTACATTGGCCAAGGCAAAATCTGAATTCCTTTCCCCTGAGCACATAGTATCAAAGCAAAATTCCCTCCTCTAATTAACAGTCATAAATCACATTCTCCAATGAGCTTGAAATGCAGGCTTTCCCTCCAGTTCTTCAACCGCCATTTCTTATCATCTCTTATTTCAAAAAATCTTGGTTCTCACCCTAGTTACAATATAGTTATGTCTAACTAAATTCCCATGCACATTCCTCCTCCTCCCCTCCAGTATCATCTAATTCTAATTCTAAGAGTAAAACATAAGAAGAAAAATGGCTGCGTCTCCATATGCTGTCAAAGCAAGAATATCCGATGTTAGCAGCATTGACAATTTAATTACAGGTCTCTGTACAGCTCTGGTGGAAATGTTCTTATCTTGTTTTGCTGAATGTGTACATATTTTCTGTTTGATATATGCCTATGTTGCGGCTTTGCTGCCCACCTCTGTGTAGCCAGGAAAACTCTGTATTGTACAAGGATTTTCCTGTTCTGTTACTATTAAAACAGGTTAATTATTTTAGCCAGATTGTTAATTGCCAGAGGAGAAAATGAATTAGTAATCTTTGCAACGTAATTTTCTAGTTTTGGTTACTCGTGGCTCATGTTAATGATTAAAGGGAGGGTCAGGGTCAGTAGAGGAATAAATCTAACTTTGAAGTAAAGTTCTTTTTACAGTTCTTAAAATTCTTTCCACACACCCATGATGTTACCTGGTTGGATAATGAAATGCCTGCAAGAAAACAACCAAGCTCGGAGAGCACCAAGGATCCCATACATATATGTTCTAATTTGTTGGATTTATCAGATCAACTCTCTTTGAGAGACTGATTAGGACAGGGGTCTTCAAACATGGCCCTTTTATGACTTGTGGACTTCAACTCCCACAATTCCCCAGCCAGCGTGCCTGGCTGAGGAATTCTGGGAGTTGAAGTCCACAAGTCATAAAAGGGCCAAGTTTGAAGACCCCTGGATTAGGAGAATCACAATTAGTTCCTGCCATCTTCTTTGGGGGTTCCATCAGTGGGAGAAAACACTATAGTCTGGATGAAATGGAGCCTGGTTTCCATAAGAAGACTTCATAAGTGAGAGATGAATGTGTTCTATTCATCCTCACAATCGAGGTGGGGTGGGTGAGCTTAAAATGAGATTCTTGGGTCCTGAGCTTTTTTTGTGAGAACTTCCTCACAATTTCAGAGCAATCTCTACTGCACATATTAATTCGGCTTTCCAATGTCTATTTTCTAAAGGATGTTGCTGCTGATGTATTTTAACTCATTGAAGTGGGTTTTGTTTTGTTTTTTTGCAAAACATTTTGCTAAAATTGACAGCAATGAGATAGATGGCAGTATTAGGTTTGGAAACACAAAGTCTGACACTTTTCATTGCAGCTCCCAGGGTTTCAATGTGCCCCCCCCCGCCGCCCCCCATGGCAGAAGTAAACTCTGTAAAGACTTTGGAGAACATTTTCATTCCTCTGTTGACTACAATCAAGGTGTTCATTCTTTGCAGCAAATGGCCTTGCCAAGATTAAGGAATGCCCCAAGTTGATTTTGATTCTTGCTGACTACATGGACACTTCAGTTTTGAGGAGGATGATGGCTGGCAAGCAACACGGAAGCAACTTTTGGATTTCTTTCCCGTTCTCCAATCTTGATTATGATTTTAGAATTTCCTGATGGACTCTCATCAAGTTTGACTTTGATCTAGTTTGACTTTGTTTCCTTATTTCAGTTGCTGAAAGAAAAATCTTCATCAGGGTCCAGTCCAAGCCTAGAGTAAGTAAGATGGAGACTGCTTTAGAAAGAAGGTTGCAGTTTATTGAAGAGGAGAGCCAGACAGAAAGATGGCTCTGGGGAAAAAAACCCTGACCACATGTAGTAGGGAATGGTGGGTTTTTATCCCTTCTTGGGCTTTCGTTTGGAGTTGTTCCTGTGGCATGAACTTTGATCTGAGTCTGAGTGTGCCTTTCTGGTATTCTGATGATGGTGAGTTAATCCTATTATGTCCCAAGGGTCATATCCTGCTTCCCTGGGGCTGTGGCTAATGAGTGTTGGATTTTTTTTGGTAAGAGGGATTGTTGATTCTAGGGATCTTTGTCTTTCTAATCCCTGCTTCCTGACTCCAATCTTTCTGACAAAATTATCACATCTGCATTTCTGCAGACCTGGTTTCTGTTTGGGGCAGAGACACTTGGGGGGGTGGTTCTGCCTTTAAGATCCTGTGGGAAGTCAGCCCCCCCCGGAGAAAGAAATATTTTTGGA